CATGTCTGAAACTCCACCTGATGGGGAGGCTAAGGCAGGAGGATGGTAATTTGAAGGCCAGCCTGGGAACTTAATCCTCTCTCAAAATTTTAGAAAAGGGTTGGGTTGTACTGCAGTGGTAGAACACTTCTCAAGCATGGGCAAGGCTCTGGGTTTAATCCTCGGTACTGGCAAAACAAAATCTAAATAGCACCTGGGATACCCGCTGAAATACACTCCTCTTCTGAATGTTTCTTTACCAAGTTTCAGATATTGTACATCGAAAAGGGATGACTAGTAGCCAGGCATAGTAACAGAAGTGTCTGTAATGTCACCACCTTGAAGGCCGAGACAGGATTATCATGATATCATGAGGCCTGCCTGAACTACATAGTTCAAGGCTAGCTGAAGTAAATGTAGCAAGACCCTGTCTCAAAAAAAAAAAAAAAAAAAAAAAAAAAAATCACCCAAAGAAGAAAATAATGACTAGCTTAACTCTGGTGCCTAGCTTTGTCACTGCTTTTTCAATTTTTAACTCTGCTGTCTGTCAGGATTGATTAGTCACTAAGATGCTTAGGAAATGTGTCCTGTGGGTATGGTCAGAAGGGGCATTAATTTCTTTGTGCCTTCATTTTTAAATGAAAACAAGTATAGAAGTGGTATTTCAGAAGGTTGTTGGTGAGAATCAGATGAATAAGTACAATTAAAATACTTGGAACAATGCCATATCTATATAGTATACACTCTGGAAACATTGTTACTACCATTCAGTGCTTGCTTGCCAGATACTAAGCTAGTTACTTTTTGGCCTGTCTTTTGTGTTCCTTCAAAGGTATCTCCCCTTATTAAAGTGAGGAAGTAAATTTTTAGACCACTCAAAGTTACCCTTTTCTGCAGTTTCTTTACTCCAAAATCACTTGCATTTTCCTGCAAATTTACGGACTACTTTGTACTCAAAACCAAAAAATCTCCACAAACTCTTATCAGAGTTGGTGGTGTGTTAATGCCATGAGAATGAAATTGTGGTTATTTTGAATGATATACTATTTTAAAATAGTGTTATCCTGGGCTTACAATTAAATTCTTAGTGATTCATTTGAATTTATACATTTGATAGTTTCAGATCACTTTTGTTAAAGAGGTATACCATTTTACTGTGATTCTCATTTTGTGGGATAGAAATTTAAGAGTGAATTAGTAGAGGGGGCTCTAGTATTAAGTTGCATCCACAAGACTTTTAACTTTTTGCTTTGTTTTTGAATAATACCTCTCCATCTCAGAGTAGCATAATTTGAAATTTTACAGCTTTAAGTAACAAAAAATTTACGTTGGAAGATGGGTGTTAGGATAGCTGCAGTACTTAATCTTAGATTAGTGAAGATGGAAGTAACTAAGTTATATTAGGGAACTGTGTCATTGAAACATCCTATTCCAGAATATTGATACATTTTTGTTGATTTAGATTTAAATCACCCACATTGTAGGATTTTAAAATCTGCTTGTGTTAGGTATAAATCATACCACTTGTTTTGTTCTGTGAACATTATTGTAGTATTGTGACATTTTTGACACAACTTTAACTTTGTTAGGGGAAATTAAGTTTTCTAATGGCATGCAGCATAGTAACTGGTAGACTTAGTGTAGGATTTACATAAACCAGAAAAGTAAGAATGTTGAAAATGAGTAGTAATTTAGCATTTGAGGTTCTCCAAATAATTGGGCAATGCTTGGTGCTTGAGTTTCTAAGTAGTAAGATGTAATTTTTCTCTTTGACAATGGAATATGTTTTGGTTGAAAAATTAGTTTTATTAGTTTTGTGTTACAGAAAATTACCAGTCTTATAATCAGTCTTCAGAAAATTACATGATGTATGATTAGAGAAGCAGTCATCTTTACAATAAAGACATATTACTGATTTTATTTTATCTTTTCACCTTTGTGTAGCACGATGACAGAGATGATGGTGTGGATTATTGGGCCAAAAGAGGAAGAGGTCGTGGTACTTTCCAACGTGGCAGAGGGCGCTTTAATTTCAAAAAATCAGGTAGCAGTCCAAAATGGACCCATGACAAGTACCAAGGGGATGGAATCGTTGAAGATGAAGAAGAGACTATGGAAAATAATGAAGACAAGAAGGACAGACGCAAAGAAGAAAAGGTAGAAAATTTCACCTTGTGATTCTGACAGATTTTCTTTGTTATGAGTTTGGATGGCAATTTCCAGTAATTTTAGGAACATAATTATGATTTCTTTTCACCCTAGACATCTATTAATACTTAATTTCTTTCTCTTTTAGGAATAGTAACTCTGAAGTAAGATTGCTACAGAGAGCAGAACTTGCACCCAACATTTTTTTTTAACCTAAATTTTGTTTTCAGATAAGAATGTAAGCATTTTACTTAAATTTTACTGTTTGCAAGTAGTCTGTAGAAATTTTGTTTTAAGTCTTCAAAAATCTTGAAAAATAGTAGACTGTATGTTGAAATTGTATTGAAATACAGTAGAAAATTGTTACGTACCATATTTGTAACTCAACTTTTAAAAAATACTTTTACTGTTTTTGTTACATGCATTGTAATTCTGCTTTGTCTATAAGATATGGTCAAGTACAGCTCTGTCAAGTTCTGATTCTCTTCCTTCCCTGTTTGTTAATGTTTATTCTGAAGTAAACGTTAGCTCTACATACAAATCCGTAAGCAGAAATTGTTTATAGTGACCACACTAATTATTTTAACTATATACATCTGTTTAACATCTTACCGTCATTCGAACACTACTTCTGTAGGGCAACTAATTTTTGAAGTGTACCACAAAAATTACTACTTTGATAAATTATTACTTTGATTAACACTTCAGCAAATAAGAAAAAAGATGCTTTGCCAATAGCAAAAAGTACAAACTGTTAAAGGCTGGATTGAAAGGTTTGAGAAAATGATATTTTTAATGAAAGCAAGCAGTGGCCTATGAAAACAATCCTTGGGGAGCATTTGAGTTCAAAATTCAGTGTTCTCTTTTGGTTCTCATTTGGTAGCTTGAGTCATGGTCTTAGTAGCTGTTTAAGAGAAGAAACTGATTTATAAAAACACAGCAAGTAAAATATCCCATTCTCACAGAATATTTTAGAATTGAAGGAAAGAAAAGGAAAAAATCTGTAATACAAATGTTGGTATGAAGAGGATTATCCTTCAGAATAAATTGATATGTCCAGTACCTGATTTCATAGGTTATATATTATTTGAGCTTTTGGGTAGCTGAAAATTAGTAGTATAACCATTAAAAAAATAGACATATAATTGTTCATTAGTAACTATGTTATAATTATCAATAAAAGGTTTTGGCAGGAAGTTTGTTGTAGCATTGATCTAACTTTTTTTCTCTTCCCCCTATTTTACTTGCAGCTTGTAAAATAGCATTTCGTTTTTCTTTCCACGGGTTCTTTCTTTCAAATGTGAATTACCATTTTTATGTTTATGTTTGTAGCTCTTAAAAGAATGAAAATCTGAAATAGTAAACTTCATATTTAAGTCTCTCTGTTTATATAACCACATTTCATTTTAATTCAACAACTGAATTAGTTGTATATTTTTGCATTTAAAGATAATGCTTATTCTATAAATGTGAACTTTTGAAGATCTGAAGTGTATGGTTCTTTCATCTTCATTTTTGATGCTTTTCAATGCATACAGCACCTTGATTACACAATGAACATTTGCTAAGAGCTTTTGGAAATTAAACAAAACTAAAAGGAAAGTCAGTATATTTGATACTTGTTGCCTAAGTTCCTGAGTATTGCATTATTTTCTTTTACTTTATCTCTTAAATTACATACTAAAGCAGAAGAGTGGTACTTGTCAAAGGGAGAATGTTTTGCGTCAGTTGGGGCATACTAATCTACTCTTATTCAGAATAATGCTTATTTAAATTTCAAAGCGACATAGTTGAATCCCTCCCCAACAGTTTTCATACCATTCTGTTTTATATGCATACATATTGCTTTTAACAGTTACTATTTGGTTAGACACAGAATTTCTATGTATGTCTATAATTGGTGTTGCTTTGTTTTTTGTTTTTTTTCCCCTCACTGAAAAGGCAAAAGAGGGAGGAGGATTTGCTAAGAAATCATTCAATAGTGAGTTGGTAATAAAGCTACTTAAGTCCTGTGGGCAGGTTATACTTAAGTGCAGATGCAGTGCTTTAATTTTGGTTACTGTTATTTTTAAAGTTGAGAAAAACATATTCTATCAGAATATAGTAGGATAGAGTGATTGTGAGAACTCTGCAATAGAATGGCATTATGGATGTTCTTTTTCAGAGTCAAGAATAATATAAAAAGTAGTCTTGTAATTTTTTTAATCAGTTTAACTCTACCCTTTATGACATGCTGTAAAAGCTGAATGGTTCCTTTTGGTAAGGATATTTGTTTACAAGTGCCAGGAAGTAACTGTTTGATAACTTGCATTAACAGACTTTCTTTTGCTTGGAGAAGGGAAATAAGGACGAACCAAAGGATATTTCCAGAAAAAATAAAAACTATTTAATAAGGCCATGACTCAGTTCTTAGGTGTATATTCTTTTTAACATCCTAGGAATTTAATACAAAAAGTAAAAAGTTTTTTCAGTTGCAATATGCTTCAAGGAATTGCCCTTGTTCCTTTTTGTCATAGTTAAAATCAGTGTTGGGAATTAAATTATAATTTGAGAAAAAATATTACCCATAAGAATGAATGTAGATGGCTAAACGAGTCTTACTCAGTGTGATGTATAATGCAACAGGGACCCTTGTAAATTGTCATATGCCAATAAAAATGTCATAAGTGGTAATAGTCGTTTTTGCACCTGATTGTGAGACTGTTTTTGTGTCCTGTACAACTGATTTCTATGGCTATTTCTAGGTTTTAGACTTTAAACTCGTTGTTAGAAAACTTGGTATGGTGTAGCTTGATAAATACTTTCTAACATTTCCTTCAACTGTGTTTACTTTTTCTCTTGGGAAGACAGAAATTGTTGTGTCTGAGTCATCATTAAAAGGTGGAAGAATTCGGGGGGTAGTGGAGTAAGAGTTTAATTCCAGCTCTCGTATGTGGCTGAGGCAAGTGAATATATCACAAGTTTGAGCCTAAACCTAGTCAATCTAGTGACTGAGACCCTCTTTCAAAAACAAAACAAAACAAAATAAAATAGCGGTTCAGTAATATTAAACTTAACCCTAGATTCAATCTCTAGTATTGCACTAAAAAAACAAACAAAACCCCCAGACAAACAAACCCCAAGGAATTTAGATTTCTGGTCTTGTCCTGTTGGTGTGTTAAGAACCTTATCAGCCATAAGGTTATATTCTTTCTAAAAACACAGTAGCTTAGTTATTAACTAAAAAGCTTAAGGTTTTTTTCTCTTTAAAATCTTCAGTAATTCTTACAGTGCTCTTCTTATAAATTATTTGAAGGACAGTGTGCCATTCTTTAAACTTCGTGTATGTATCTGTAAAATGGTGTGTAAGCTCACTGGTAGCTTGATAGTGGTAATTTTAATGTTATATACAAGTTTCTTATATAAATTAGTTTTCAGAGTACTTTTTTAAGGCTGCCAATGAGAATGTTAAATTTGCACTTTGAAAAAAAGTTGAATGTCATCAAGGTATGTGTAGAAGGATTGTTACAATAAACTAAAAGTTAGCTGGTTAGTATCAGTATATAGTTAGCAAATTCATTGTAGCAAAAGGGTTTTCACAAAACAGACATCAGATTTCTGAGTGGAGAGGTTCAAATAATGCAGTGAAGGATTTGCCAGCTGTGAGAAATGACTATTAAAATTTAATTTATATTTCTAATGAAAAATAGGATATATGAGAGGTAAAAGATTTTGTTAGGATTTGGAGTGAAAAATTGATGGCGTTTATCTTTGAGATCGAACTTTGGGTCCATAGTCTAAACCCAAATTTTAACTGTTAGAGTAGACTTTCATTTAACTGATTTATCCTCCTAAAGTATTATTAGTAGTATTAGTCCTACTTCAGTCTCCTAAAGCTGGAATTTGTACTTTTAAAGATCAAGATAGACCTTTTTGTCTTTCACTATCTATACATACAAGTTTTAAAAGAAGATCTCATTTATATGGACTGTGGGTTTCCTTACTGATGGAGAAATCTCAAAATTTAAGGATAGTTAGCATTTACTTAGTGATAGGTATAGTGATACATTTTAAAAATTGTATAAACAGCCAGGACAAAAATGAGTTCTGCTTTTTACAGTTTGATAATAGGTTAAAACTATATGTGGATATTGAAACAAGTCAAAAGTAGTTGCACTATGGAGAAGAGTGAAAAATAGTTCTCAAATATCTTACACCACCTAATGTGTGATAGTCACAGCAAGGCAGCAGAATAATGATTAAAATGGTACATAGCAGGTTGACAGGAGGATCACTATCTTAGCAAGACCACATACGGAATTGAAAAAGTGTTAAATTGCTTCTTGGTCTTTTGCCTAAGGTAAGCGTAGAAACATGTGATTAGGTTTGCCTGGGGCACAATCCTGGGATTGCATTTAAAGCTTTTGCCTGGAAAATTTTTGAGACATAAGTCATACTGGGTTGCCAACTGGCCTATAATCATCCTGTCTCAGTGTCCCAAGTATCTGCGATTACAGGCATGTGTCACCATACCCAGCTGCATGGTTGAAGATCTTTCACCAAAAACTAATTTTTTGTTCAGGGATATATATAGCTCAATAAGAGAATGTATGCCTAGAACCACAGACCCTGTGTGATGCCTAATACCTGTGTGAGAAAATGTTTAGGTTTGGCAAAGAAGCTTAAAGGGTTAAACACAGAAGGCTGAGGCATAAAGATGACTGCCGTTTGAAGGCCAGCCTGGACAATGTTACATAGCCGGCCCTATTTCAAAAGATCAAAATCGTCCTATAAAACCCAGACTTGCAAATAAAGGGATAAACGGAACAGAAAGAAGGTGAATTGCTAAACACTTGTGTAGATAATTCTTAAATTCAGACTTCATCTGCATTTTCTCCAGGATACTTACTGCCCCTTCATTCCAAATTGAATTCATCTCTATTCCTCCTTACTGTAAAGTAATGTTTCCTTTTATCCTGTCAATGATAGCAAACCTTTTAGAGACGAGTGCCTAAATTGCAACCCCAAACCCGGTTATTTATTGCACTGCAAGCATACATGAATAATGAAGTTTTAGTTTAGAAAAAAACTATATTAATATCTTCTGTCTCAAAAAAAAAAAACAAAACAGTACATGTACCATAGGTTTGCCACCACTGCCATGCTAATGGACATACTGTAGAGTTTATCTTCTGCCTCTTCTCAGAGGTGCTGATGACTCAACTGCTGTTACCGTAACTTGGATCCTCCACTCATACGTAATGTTACATATTGCCACCATCCCTCTTTGAGAGGAGCTTGTGATGATGCACAGGCTGGGCCCAGACTTGATACAGTGTTCTCCCCCAGCACCCAAAGTGCTGGGATTCCAGGCATGAGCTACCACTCTTGGCTCACTTGCCTGTCTTAATCCTTTGCACAAAATTACATTGTTTCTGGCCTGGGATCATTTAATGTAACATTCAGGCTAGCAACTCATTCACCTTAACCTCATTTTAACATTTGGTAGTTATAGGACAGAAGCAGATAAAATTCATAATAAGCACACTGTCAGTTAATAGTTGACACAACCTAAGAAGAGGCAGTTTGCAAGTTGAAAATTTTCTCTAAAAGGCAGTCTGTAGAAATAGCATCTGGAATGCTTTGCCACCTGATGATCAACTTTTTTTTTTTTTTTTTTTTTGTCTTTTTTGTTTTTATCGGTACCAGGGATTGAACTCAGGACTGCCTGCTTGCAAGGCAGGCACTTATGCCGCTGAGCTAAATCCCCAGCCCCTGATGTTCAACTTTTTTCTAGTCTGGATTACTTAGTTGCTATCAACCAAAATTTCCAGTAATTAAGAGAAACCGAGCTGGGTGTGGTGGAGCACGCCTTTTATCCCAGCACTTGGGAGGCTAAAGAAGATGAGTTCAAGGCCAGCCTGAACTATATAGAAAGACCCTGTCTAGAACCAAAAACCAAACCAAAGTTCATTCTGATCATGACAGAGAAATTGTAACAATAAAATTGTTTGTGCCATGTTTGACAACAACTTGCATTAGTTGTAAGCAAAGTATAAAATTTTTGTGAAGGAAAATTTTTAAATTTGTTACTTGGAACATAGTAATATTGAAAATTATTTGGGTAGTAACTACTACAAGTGAAAAATATCAAATGGAAACCACAAGACTAATGTATAATGATGGTCTGGGTAATCTGGAGACAAAACTGACATTTTAAAACTTGGCTATTTTGGGGCTGGAGATTTAGCTCAGCGGCATAAGTGCCTGCCTTGCAAGCAGGCAGTCCGTGAGTTCGATCCCTGGTACCGATAAAAAGACCAAAAAGAAAAAAAAAGTTTGAATAATTATATACAAAGGCCCTTTTGGATGCAGATACTACGCATAACCTAGACTTTTGTGGCAGAATAGCTAAAAAAAGGAAGTACTTTTGCCTCATGGTGTCAGAAGTTGCAGTCTGTTTTCCTGGCTTCCTGGCTCTGGTTTTTGGTGAAGCAGGAAGGTAGTGAGTGTGCTGGACAGATGAAAGCTGCTTATCTCTTGGTGAGGGATTAGAAGGAGTTTGAGAGCCAGAGTTTAGGGAATGCCCTGAGGACCAGATCCTGTTCTTAAAGATGCATTCCCTTTAACTAGGCTCTGCTTCCTATGGCTCATTGAGCTGTGAGCTCAGTAGTGGGCTAATTTGGCCGATAGGATCAGCACCCTAGTGATCCAATCCCTCTAGGCCCTGTCTCTGAATATGACTGCACTTGAGATACATGAGTTTGGAGGACCCTTCATATTTAAATCATATGTATTATTTAGGAGTTCGTGCTAAAAAGTCCTTTTGTAATTTAGGTTTTGTGATTTTTAATACATGTTTACAAGTATATATATGTGTGTGTATGTATGTATAATGACTTGTTTCCATTTAGTCTGTTTTACGGGCCAGTGCAAAGAAGCATTTTTTCAGGATAATTTAATTTGCAATGTTTTAATATCAAAGACTAAGATTGCAGAGGCTACAGCATGGTAATTTCACTCTCTTACCACACAAAATCTAAGACTTGGGTCACAAGGCTAATGGGAAGATTGAGTATACTAATAGCTTTTTTTTTGGTGCCAGAGATGGAACTCACACCCTTACGATTGCCAGGCAGGTACTTACACTGCTGAGCTAAAACCCCAGCCCTGCTTCTAGCTTTTTTTTCTAAACCAGTCCTTAGCCTGGCTCCATTAATTAACCAAAAAGCTGCTTAGCTTTAGGTGTAATCAGATGAAAAAATCTTTTCTGGTGTGGTCCTTGGCATAGTAATTATCTATAAAGAAATACATTATTAGTGGTTCTTGGGAAATCTTTGTGACTAGATAGCAAAATCAAAACTTCATGTGGAGCCCCTGCAATTAAGCTAGGCAGTAAGCTGTTTCCATTAGTCCTCAAATATCAGCAGTTGGATACAAATCATCCTGCCTGTTGGTTTCTGTGAGTAGAAGGAAGTAGGGCAGTGTCTGACAAGCACTAGAACACCAGAATCCTGATTTGGGCAACATCCTTTCCATGGAGAAAGGCTAAATTTAGGGTTTATCTTTCTTGGGACTATGGTTACCCACTGACTGGACTGGAGAAGCCTGAGCCACTTATCCCAGGAAGCTGAGGAGAAAACAAAATCGTTTCAGCAGGATAAACACGAATTGAGAAGGCTTGGATCTTGAGTTGGGAGAGGTGGACACAATCAGGAAAATTTGAGAAAGCAAGCCACAGTATTTCTGAACACTTGTGAGCCATGTGTCTTTTCTAAAACTTTAGGACAATTCAGTGTAAAGATGAGCAGTGGAAAATGCTAAATCTCATAAGACTATCAAAATTAATATGAATGCTTTGATAAAAGATGTAGGAAGGATCTGAAGAATTGAAAAGGCATTCATGGACGTGTTTGACCTGAACCCACATTATTGCTAAATCAGAGTTGGAATCTTGGGCCATGTTAATGCGCAACCTGTACAGTGGTTCCTTTTTTCATGTTCTTGGTCAGTTTCATTTTGCCCTTATATCGCTGTTCAGTAGCAGCTTGGAAAGGGAGGTTATAAAAGTCATGATTTTTTCACTTATGAGGGAAAAAGAGGGCAAGCCATTTGAAAAAATTGCAATCATTTTAAGGTTTCCGAACCACTTGCCCTCTACTTTGACGTTTCCATCACCTCTCGTTCCTTTCATCTCATTGTAGTTCACACTACTGGCTTATATCACTTAAAATCACTGCCACTGGGGCTAGGGATTTAGCTCAGCCGCATAAGCGCCTGCCTTGCAAAGCAGGCAGTCGTGAGTTCGCTCCCTGGTACCGATAAAAAGGAAACAGACAAAAAAAAAAAAAAAAAAAAAAAAAAAAAAAAAAAAAATCACTGCCATCATTGCGCTGTTACTCTCAATTCTTGATCATGCTTTCTCTCATCCCATACCCAATTATTTTCTGCAAGTGGACTGAATACTTTATGGTATCGTATAAATGGTACTCAGAGAAAGCCTCGCAGACTTATCCCACCACGTCACCTCCAGGAGGAAAACAGCCTGCATTTTCCTGATCTTAGAATGGTATCCCAAACATATTAGACATCCAATATTAGTTGAATTAATAACCTTCCTTTAAAAATTATGTAAGGCGGTAAGCAGGCAAAATTTTGTTTTTGTCACGGAATTCAAGCTGGAAATCATTATCTAGGCTAGACTCGAATTTTTGAATCTTGGTATGCGCACCACACCCTGCTACGAATGAATTTTAAAAAACAGCAAAGCTGTAAAACCCTAGTCACCTAAGCATTTAATAGAAGTTCACTGACCAATAAGTAAATCGCACTCTTCGGGGTAGATGAACTTTAGATGACCTATCTGGTGTAGGGCTGCATAAGGCAGGACTCCTCACCTCCTACTAGTCCAGCTGTTGGTAGCGCTCGCGTAATGCTAGGTGTACACCAATGTTTAACTGGGAAACCCTCAAGCGCGTTGTGCGCGTGCGTCTGCGTCCCAGACCTACCTACCCCGCCCACCAGCTTCCTATTGGCTTCTATTGGTTGTTTCGCGGGCAGAAAGGGCCGGAGTAGGAGAAGGGAGAGGGAGAAGAAACCAGCTTGCCGTCACCAACAGCCAATCAGAAGGAGCAGTCTTCAGTTTTGCCCAATGGGATCAGGTTTGGGTCACGGCCCGCGGAGTTTAACTTTCCGTCCAGGAACGCGGAAGTAGCCCGCCTGAGGCCGCACAATTGTCAGACTTGGCTCGGGGGCCTTGGGTCACCACCTCCCGTGAAGTCGCCGAGGCTGAGTGCGGTCTTCAAGTGGAGCCTCGGGCGGCCCAGGCCTTTCTCTCGGGACCTCTTACTGCCTGTGACTTACAGGCCGAGGTGCACGGGTGGCGCGGGGTTGAAGTCGGTGCGTGTCCTCATTAGCACTCGCGCGCTCTGGTCCTCTTCTCTCGACGCTGAGGATTCGGAGACCTGCATCTGTCTGTAACGCTCTCGGCTTCGTGATCCCATGTTTGCCTGAGGTTTGGCTCTGGAGGACGGTGAGCAATGCTGCGGTGCGAGTGACACGACTGTGCTCTGGTCGCATTCCGCTACCAGGTGGGTGACGTAAATTGTGTTGCTTATCGGGTTCATGCTCATCCGTGTCTTTAAAACGAGTGCAGACGGATGGTAACCGCCCGTTTTCTGAGAAGAGTTTACTGTTTATTTTGATAAAGCTTTGAGTCAGGCCCCTACCTTCTTTCCAGGGTCTGCTAAACTAGCTTTTCACCTCAGCATCTTTGCCTAGAGCTTTCAGGACTGTGAACCTCGTTGTCACACATTAACTTGAAACCTTCCCTTCCACGCCTTTTTTGTAGACCTCATTATCTTATTAGATTTTAGTGTAATTTAAAAGACAAATTAGTTTCCTTACCACCCCCCCCCCCCCCGCGTCCGATTCCTTTTGCTTCCTTCAGAGTAATGCTGACAAGGGGGGATGAGTTGATGGTGTTATGAATAATGAAAGGTCTCTTCTAGTTTAATTAATATAATTCCTGCACTTATTTGTCAAGAGTAATATTTTACAAAATTTTCCCCAAAGGTACGAAGAACCTGATGATGTTTCCCTAAGTTTGCTTTACCAATGTCTCTCCTGTTGAATATCTTACGAGAAATGCTGGTGTATTTTGGCGTTCCCATAGACCAGGTAAATCCCTTATAATAGGGTTTGGATGAACCTTTCTTTTTGGTTCTCATTTTAAAAATTATTTATACACACACACACATCTAAGGCCCAATTATTACTTCTGTTCAGGTGAGACAAAGATTAATTCTCTATAGCATAGCTTTGATAATTCGAGGCAAGGGTGGGAGGGATGAAGCATATTGTTGGTAGCACAAGCCTATAATCCTAGGACTCCAGGGGGTGGGAGGCGGGAGGATGGAAGGTTGGAGCCCAGCCTAGACACTGAGCCCCTATTTAAAAAAGCAAGAAAGGACTGGGATTTAGCTCTGTTGAGGCCCTCGATTCAATCCCCAGACTGCCAAAAAAGGGGTGTGTGTCGGGGGAAGAAGATTATTAACCTATTTACCTACTAGGTCAGATGCCAACAGGCGATACAAAGGAAGCAAAATCAAAACATTAAATGTGACCTTCAAAGAAATAAATATATTGCATAGATAATAAAACTTTAATTTATGAACAAGTTTAATGTCTGAACATAGAATAGTACCTTAACAACAAAGTCAAAATAAATGTGAGGGAGAGAAGATGATTAGGACAAGAAAATTATAAACAAGTCTAATTTTATCTACTTGTGCATGTAAGACAGTATTCTTGGTTCTGTAGATGATAGAGGAACAATGCTTTATTTTTGTACTCGAAGTTTAACATATGAGAGAAGCAAGAAACAAAAATAACTATGAGATTGACTATAAGAAAGATAGAAAATAGTATGTGTGCTTACAAAATGGACAAGTCATCTGTATGTTGAGATGAATTAGAAGATGGTCAAAAAATAGTGGTAAAATTTTAAACCAAAGTAAACTGAAGAATGATGATGCCATTATTACTGACAACTCAGTGTGAGCTAGGAATTTGAATAGGAAGGTAAGGTGTGCCGTAGGTGGTGGTGTGAATATAAATAGAAATACCTGGCAGGGAGAGTGAGGGAAAAGAGATTCAGATTTGCCTTGTATGTATTGTTTTGGTATTTGAAGCCATAGATGCATAATGGGAGATGTCCTTAGATGTTATTGCAACTTTAAATTGCCGGAGGCTGGAGATGAGTACTGAATAGCACTTGAAGATATGCGTATCATTATTGGATTATTTGTACTCTAATGAATTTCTACAGATGGAATTGGGACAAAATTGGGGTAGTTTGAAGAATGTGAAGAAAGGAAGCAGCATCAGCAACGATCTTTGGAAAAGTTTGCTTGAGAAAAGAAATTAGGAGGCCATCAGTTCTAAGGGACAGCAGAATTGAACACTCCCCTCCCCCCCTTTAAAATTAGAGGGAACTTCAGTATGTTTGCATACTGGGAGAATTAATTCTGTGGGTTTTTTTTTTTTAATTTTGGTACCTGGGATAGAACTCATGACCTTGTGCTTTGCCACACAGGCCCTGTGCTGCTGAACTAAATCCTTGTCCTGGGGAAGAATTTAAGATACAAATGACAGGATGATTGAGTAGTACTGACCTGAAGAGAATGTAGCTGAACAGGAAATCTAAATAAGTAGGCTTTGGGGAAAAGAGAGACAGTTGTGGTTTTTTGTTTGTTTTTTGTTTTTGTTTTTGTCTTTTTGAGACGGCTTCCTATGTAGTTCAGAATGGCCTTGAACTCACAATGACAATGATCCTCTTGCCTCTCCCTCTCTAGTACTGGGATTATAGGTGTGTTGCCACCATGCCTGGTGAGAGACAGTTGTTTTTTAAAGAATAGATAAAAATGAGAGATGGTAGAGAAAGATTTTGAGTGGACAGAAATGAAGTTGAAATATGTCAATCTGAAGGCTTTGGTTTTCTCAGAGCAGAAGCAAGATTCCTTGGAAATCACGAAAGTGCTAACACTGGGGTTTTTAGAGACTGGAGATATCTTTGGGTGACACAGTGTGAGCAGATGTCATGAAGGGATTGCAGTTACTCTGAGGACCCTGCAGTAAACATGGGGGTTTAAAGCTTTTCTAAATATTATCATCTTGTGATTTTTTTTTTCTCTAGCTTTTTTTTTTTTAATCGGTACCAGGAATCGAACTCATGACCGCCTGCTTGCAAGGCAGGTGCTTATGCCACTGAGCTAAATGCCCAGCCCCTGTTTTCTCTAGCTCTTAGTAGAAGAAATAAATGAAAGAAAGTATGGAATATTTTAAATAAAAATACTCAGGATTCCAAAGATACTGGTGTTAACAGATCCAGGATCACTATTGGCTAGATTTTGTTAGCTACTGGTCATATACCATCTTTAAGTGCTTCAAATATCTTTTTTTTTGAGACAGGGTCTCACCATGCAGTTCAGGCTGTCCTTGAACTCAGTAGGTAGCCCAGGTTGGTCTCAAACTCATGTACGCTTCCTGCTTCAGCCTCCTGAGGCCTGGGATTATAGGTGTGTGCCATCGTGCCTGGCATCACCTGTCTCTTGTTTTTGCATGTGGCTACTAGAATATTTTACATGTGTGGTTTGTGTATTTCTTTTGGAAAATGTCTGGGGTAATACATACTAGTATTACTACTCTCAAGGATTCAAATGGAAGAGTTTCTGTCTGATGGAGGAGAGAGAACTGAATATGAAACAAAGTCATATGTAATTACGTGGTCATCAAAACTAGAATAGAGCCAGGCGTAGTGGTTGTAATCCCAACAGTTGCCAGACCGAGGCAGGAAGATCACAAAAAGGCCAGCCTGGACTACAGAATGAGATGCTGTCTCAAAAATAAGAAAATCTAGTTAAGAACTGAACTTAGGTAGAGGAAATGATCAAATTTGTAGAAGAATGTGAATAGCTTAATCAAGGACAGATAAAAATGAACCAGCACTAAACTTTGGGGCTGGAGTCACATAGATTGGGGCCTACTAAGCACACTATGAATGCAGGGCAGTTAGGATAAGATTGGCTTATTTTTGAGACAGTTAAGAAAACTGCTTGACCCGGAAGAGCGTGTGTTCTTGTTGGTGAATAGCTGAAAATTAAATTGGACAGAAAGAATAGGACAGATGAGCACAAGATCTTAGTGGGTGATTGCAGAGTGAACGTGGGATGCTTGGAGTGTGTTGTGGAGACTGGCCTGGGAGACTGATGAAAGACTGTAAAGTTGGTTGATGGCATCAGTATTTAGTTTTGGACTCAAATGTAGAAGAAGTGTGGCCTTTTAAAAGCAGAGGAGTGGCATGACTTTGTGCAGGAGAACTCTGTGCTGATGACTTTCAAAAAATCTTTTTCTGTCATCTAGTCCTGTGGCTTCCAACTTTATTTATTCAGTATCAGGTATTCTGTAGCCTAGTAAGTCCCAAGTCTGTTTCTCTAATCCTGGTTTTTCTCCTGAGCTTTAGTGCTGTGTATCTATTGACTCACTGGATGTACTACTTATTGAATCATTTTGTAAAGATGCTAGTAGAATGTTCTGTGTATCTGTTGCATGTAATAAAGTTTGTACTTATAGCATCTTAGGGAAAATGAAAACTTCTGTTTTTAATGCTTAGTAAAAGAGAAATCTTTTTGTGATAAAATCTCTGCAGAAAATACCTTACGTTTTTTGGGGAGGAAGGTTGTTGTAGCAATGATTTACATCATATGGGGAGCCACTAGTGTGTTTGGCAACTTTCTGTTCTATGACAAAATACCTAATGTGAACAGTTTACAGAAGAAAAGGTATTTTGGGGCTCATGATTTTGGCAGTTTCAGTCCATGTCCTTGACTTCATGGTAGGAAGGCCTAGTGGTGGATGGTAGCTGGAAGTAGAGAAGAGCCTGAGAGGCGGGGTGGAACCATGTATGGATCCAGGGTCACACGCCCTTCATGTGCTCTCTTCAGCTTGGCCCCACCTCCTGCTCTATCATCTCCCAGTAATGCAGTCAAGTTGTGATAATCAGTGGGTTAATCCACTGATGAACTTGGAGTCCTCATTAGCTAATCACTTCCCCTAAACACATCAGCAGCCAAGTCTTTAACACAGTGAGCCTTTTGAGGGGGACATTTAGGATCTCAACCATATAACCTGAGTATTATTCACATTTTGTTTCTAGTAAATTTTCAAGAGTTCCAGCAAATATATTCCACTGTATGTAAATAACTCTTTGGGTTGTTTTATGACCTATTTATTCTGCTTTTTATTTTTTCTTTAAAGGAAATTACAGAAGTATTCTGTATTGCTTCATCACTTGATAAATTGAAAACTGTCAGGTGCTATTTTTATTTTCACTGAGAGGGTCTTCCTACTTTGTCTGGCCTCTTCATGAACTCCTGACTCAGTGATCTCACTTCAGCCTCCTGAATAACTGGGATTACACATGTGTGCTGCCATGGCTAGCTGAAATTGTCATTTTTGGGGGGACAAGGTGGGATACTGAGCCTTGAACCAAGGCCTTTGCAGTGATTTACATCCCCAGTCCTTTTTGAACATTTTTACTTTCAGATACTGTCTTGTTAAATTGCCCCCGGCTGGGTATAGGCTTGTAATTCTTCTGTGTTAGCTTCCCAGAATGGTGGCATCACAGATACACATCACCACAGCTGGCTAGTAATGTCAGTTTTTGATTGGGTCTAGATGGAATTTTAAAGGGAAGGAAGGCAATTGTTGTGAACAAAATTTCTCAAGGTATTTGGACATTATTAGAATTAAAAGAAAATGAACTGTATTACTCTCTTTAAAAACTCAGGAATGTTTACTTTATTCTTCTCTGGGTTTTTTTTTTTTCCTTCCAGTGCTGGTGTTTGAACCAAGGGCTGTATTAGGAACCTGGACCAGAGTCCTGAATGTCAGTATCAGGAACCCAGCCAAGGGTCCTGATTGTCTGTTTTAAGAATGTCGTGAGAAAAATAAACAGAGACAAGTATAAAGTATAGTATTCCATCAATGACTGGGAAGTCAGTGTCTGGATTGCGCTTCCTCATTCCCAAAAGAGCCCCTAGTAGATGTATACAGTGATAGTGGGGTAGTCAAGGATTACAATTCAGTGGAAGACTCAGATTTAAGAGGGTGTAGATAATCTTACGCTTAGAAGTATCTTGTCCTAGAGTATAATCCTGAGATGATTTAGATGATCTTATGCTTAGAAGAGTCAATAGGAAATCTCAGATGGGTGGTGCTGATAATCCCAGGCCTTCCTTTAATCCCATAGGGAAATGTGCGAGATTTTAGCCATTGTGAATTTGTGGTCCCCAACAAGGCTGTGCATGCTGAACAAGTGCTCTACCACTGAGTTAAACCTTACAATTTCATTGTTTTAAAAAAGATAATAAAGCTTAATTCTTTGGAGAAGATACTTTGTAGTACTATATTTTCTTTTTAAAAAATTTACTTCATTTTTTACATTTCCTTTTTAGATATACAAACATGTTTAATTAATTGAAATATATAGTAAATAAATCCTTGTTTTTAAATAGATTTTGCTGACTTGGAAACATAAAGACTATGGATCATACCGGAGTATTGTCCGTATTATTGGGAAAATGCTTCCTATAGAACCATGTCAGAGACCTAATTTTGAGGTAAGTCAATCACCATGCATTTTTAAAATTGTTTATAAAATAATTCTAGATATTCCTAGGGAGTTAGGGTATCTAACAACAAAGCAAGACATATTTCTTCCAAGCTAAGAACTTTAGTTTATCCGTGGAAACAACTCACTTCACATATTTTTTTGTTTTTTTAAATATTTATATTTGGAGCTAAACAAGTACAAGGAACATATGAGGAGCTTATTTGTTTTAATTTTCTGTTTGATAATAGATTAACGGGGAAGAGAAGCTACACATTTAGAATATATACATTTTTCTCAGCTAGTTTTTCTTGCTAACAAGCACATATTTTTCTGCTGAACATCTTACCCTTCTCTTTTGGATTATTAATTTGTTTAATATGATGAGGCAAGGGGCACATGTCCTCCCTGACTTCCTACAGAGCTCTGACTTTTTTGTTTTTTACTTTTAGTTGATCCCGCCCTTGATCTCCGCGGAGTCTGATAATTGTGGCTCTATAGTTCCATCTTTTGCTGACATTTTGTCTGTGGCCAATGATGAAGAAGCCAGTTGTCTTAGATTTCGGTAATCTTTATACTTATCTTGGGAAGTGGGGTATGTGCTGTAACCTGAATTCTTATGTGTGTTGAAGTTTGTTTATATCACTTGGAGCTCTTTTGTTTTCTCTGTATGTGCAACATCATTCTAATATCTTCCTAATAAGGGTGACTTTCTCATTCTTAAGCTAATTTTTCTTACTACACTTTTAAACCTAGCATTAGTCATGAGAGCAGGGAGTTAAAGAGTTATCAAGAGTCATTATTTTCATTCTGTGTTGTGTACTAGAAATACAACATTATTGTTTCTTTGAAATATTGTAAGTGCTATATTTATTTTATATATTTAGCCAAAATTTTCATAGCACTTACTGTGCATTAAACAGCAATGTTAGTTAAGTATACAGCAGGGCCTTCATATCTCTGAGAGTTCTGTATGGGCTCCCCATTATCTGTGGGTTCCAGGTTCATGTATTCAACCAACTAAGGATCAGAACTACTTGGAAAAAAGTTCCAGAAATTCCAAAGAGCAAAACTTTAAATTTTTTGTGCACCAAGTACTACTCTGAATTCATAAGAATGAAGTGTTGTGTAGACATGGCATTAGGAATTCTAAGTAATTTGGAGATGAGGGCTGGGGATTTAGCTCAGTGGCATAAACGCCTGTCTTGCAAGTAGGCAGTCGTAAGTTCGATCCCTGGTACTGATAAAAAGGAAAAAGACAAAAAAAAAAAAGAGGTAAAGTAATCTGGAGATGATTTAAAGTGTGCAGGAGGCTATATATGGTGAAATGCCAGGGCTCTGCCATTTATATAAGAGATTCAAGCATTTTTGGATTTTACTATTGTGTAGGGAACCCTGGAACCAGTCTCCCATGGATGCTGAAGGGCAGTTGTCCTTCATCTTTTGACTGATACTCCTAGAGAGCACTGGCTTCTGTGTTATCTTTAGTTTATATCGTAAGAACAGAGAATGTCAACTGTTGAGATGTTCTGACTAAATGTATATGTGTCAGATTGATGTATCAATTTTCAAAAAGTTAGAAGACCATAAATTTATGCTAGTTAACATAATCTTGACTGTAAAGCCTTGTAGTACCTTATGTAGAATTTTTAAATACAGTAGTTAAAGTTAATGAGTAGAATAGTTATATGCTAATTACAGTATTTTTGTGTTATAATCCATGAGTAAGGCTTGTCCTCATTCCCTGGCCTCTCAGGACCATCTGTTGGAATTCTGTTCTGAAATGTTGAGAAGATGAAGCTAAATAAGATGCTATTTGTCCTCAGTGAGTCTGAACAGACACAGGGAGTTGCTCTGACTTCATTTAGTCTTTTGGTTTTCATCAAAGATTTTACGTATTTTTCTGATTGAAAAAAAATTCCTCTCTGTCTCTGTCCCTCTCCTGCCTATAGAAGTCATATATGGAAAAGTGAAGAGGAGAAAATTAAAACTTGCCATCCTTTACAAGTAGCTTGGGATCCACTGTCATCTGCTCGAAGACAGAACAAACCAGTAAAAAATGATCTGCCTGTAGATGAAGCTGCAGTTAAAAAAATAGCTGCCCTTGAAAATGAGCTAAGTCTTCTTCGCTCTCAGATTGCTGCAGTTTTGGAAATGCAGGAACGGAAAAATGGTGCAAAATCTGGTAAGTGACATACTGGATTTGTTTCAGCTAGATGATACTCATCTGGTGTATAAGTCAGTGCAGTCTGAGTAAGAACTATGCACAGCATGTATTCGATATTTTTTCAAAGTAAATCAAGATCCGTTTATAGTAAAGGCATTAGCTTTGGTTTAAGGAAAAGCTATATTACTAAAGATTGTATTTTGTAGGATCAAAAAGGCCTGTCTTGTAGGTAAGCTTTTCTAGCTCTTAAGAAAAGCACTGGAGAACAAAAAGGAAGAATGCATTCGTTTGAAAGAGGAGAATAAGTTCCAGATCTCATATTTATAGGTTTTATTTATTTATTTTTTTTGTCTTTTCCCTTTTTATCAATACCAGGGATTGAACTCATGACTGCCTGCTTGCAAGGCAGGCGCTTTTTTGTAGGTTTTAGTTAATTGCTGCTACACTTCCACTAATTTAAGTGAAAAATATTTTCCAGTTGATCCTGTCTTATTACAGATGTAATTTGTTTTAAATAAAATTTTAAGCAGTATAGGACCAAACACTTTTCACAATGGGTTTGGCCATAAGCTGTATGTAAAAATGTGAAAAAATTATATAATCTATAATACATACTCATGGAATTTATGCAAGTAATATATGGTATATATTTAAAATATAAATTATATAATATTTAATTATAAATACATAGTAATGAAGTGATATTATGCACAGTTTTTTTCTTACGCATGTTTATCCACATTTTTTCAGGAGCAAATTTATTGCAAAGAAGTTAAATATCTTGTACCCATCTTAAACTCTTGCCTAGAAAATAATATGCCTGTTGGTCTAGCGTCAGTACAGAGCGAATGCAGCAGTTTGAGTATTTCTAACTACCCGTTGTTGACTGTGTTTTAGCTTTTTAAAATGGAGAATGAGTTCATATTTTATGTGAATTACTGAAAAAATTCTTTATTCCTTCTTTAAACATACATGATGTGGTTTATACAGTATCTGGATGTCTCTTCAAGGCCTCATGTGCTCAGAGATGGGCTTTTGCAAGTTGACTGAATCAAGGGGACACTATAGCTAGATTGTTGTTAGAAGCTGGGGTCACTGATGGCTGCCGAGAGGTGGACAGCTGTCTTCCACGATCGACCCTCCCACTTTGCTGTTTCTGTGTTCAAGCCTGCAGATGTGGCCTGAAACCTCTAAAAAACTGAGAGCCAGAATAATCCTCTCCTAAGTCATGGGTGGAACATAGGAATTACATCCAGTGATAGGAAAGTGACTAAGACAATGAATTCTCCACTCTCTATTAGGTGCCTACACTGAGAACTAATTCCTTCCTTCCTTCCTTCCTTCTTTCTCTTCCTCCCTCCCTCCTTCCTTCCTTATTAATATTTTGCACCTAAAAATTTTATTGGTACATTTTAGATATACCTAATGATAGCATTCATCATAGGGAATCTGTACCTGTACATGATATATCTTCTTATTTTTTTCTCATTTCCCTCCCCTCCCTTCAACCCCTCTTACCCTCCTTATTTACAAAAGCTTTGTTTTCATTTTCCCTTCTTTTTTTTCTTGTCTCTTTTTTTCCTTTCCTCCCTTGTACTCCTTCACATTTGACCATTTTTGTCCCATTTTCCCATATCTGTTACACTTTTTGGTCCTTATTTACACTTTTGGTTTCTCATACCAGAGAAGCAATTCAGTATTTAAACATGTGAGTCTGATTTATTTCACTTAAGTGTATGGCTTCAAGGTGCATCCATTTAGCTATAAATGTCTCAAGCTTGTCCTTCTTTATGGCTGTATAGTACCCCAGTGTATAAAAAAAGCACAGCTTTATTGGTTCATCAATTGATGGGCATTTGGGCTGTTTCCAAGATTTAGCTATTATAAGAAGTGCCCCTATAAACATGAATTTGTGTATATCTCTGTGTTATGATGCTTTTAATTCTTTTGGGAAGACACTAGGAAGGGGAATACTCTAATTTGAGTTTTTGAGGACCCCTATACAGATTTCTACAGTCTGCACTCTCACCAATAGTGGAAAACAGTTTTTTTTCCCTCACAGCCCCATCAATGTTTGTTATTGGTTGGTTTCTTCCTGGAGTGAGATGAGATCTTACTATTGTTTTAATTTGCCTTTCTCAAATGACCAGGGATCTCGGACATTTTTTCATATATTTATTTGCCGTTTCTACCTCTTCTGAGAAATGGCTATACATTTCAGATGCCCATTTTTAGACTGAGTCTTTAGATTTGGAGGGTCTGATTTTTTTTTTTTTTTTTTTTTATTCTTTGTATGGTCTAGTCTAGATATTAGTCTTTTGTCTAAGGAGCAGAAAGAGTCTGGATCTGTGTTCATTAATCCCAGCAAGCCAGCCATAGATGTATGGTGGGGTATTAGATAATTCCAGTAAAGCAGCACCTTTGGTTCCATTGAAGTTCAGACTGGTTTTTCCCTGTGAGGTTAGACCCTGATTTGTTTAGCTACACAAGCAAGCCTCCTGCTGGCTTGCACTCAGTTCCTTGACCTCTCATCAGCTTGAACTGGGTTCCGCCTCACTCTGAGGTTAGGAACTGCTAGATGGAGCCCACTCCAGCTGCTCTTGTGTTTTGAGCTCAGTTGGTTCTTCTCCAGCGTGGCTTTTCCAGTCAATTGCCCTCTCCTGGGGGTGTCTAAACCTAAATAATTAACTAGCCGCTGCAGTCCACTGCTCCGTTTACTAATGCATTTCTCCCTGGAGGCCTCTGGAGTAGCCTGTAGTGACCATGCTTCTGCAGGTTCACGATGCCTCTCCTATTCAGTGAGTCAGGGCTCAGAGAGAAAGTGCCTTGACCTGCTTTGTTGAAGTCTCTCTTTGCTCTTGTGGGCTTCATTTTGTGTTCCAGATCTTTTCTGGGTTCTGGGGAAGACCCACTTTCCTCGTCCTCTTCCTCATGTTACTGTCTTCCTGTGTCAAGACACCAAATCATTTAAAGGCTCTTTTTCTATTCACCACTCTACCCTCTTCCTAGAAGTCAAGTTTCTAATTAGATTAAAATGAATTTACAGTTTGCCCTTAGAAACAAGCCGATGGGATTATTGCTCCTTCCTGGCTAGCATATCACTATTGCATTATAGAAACTTCTATTTTGGTTCTCACTAGTGTATGATGCTAGAATTTTGCCTGTTTTTTTTCAACAAATGACTTTGCTTTTAGGCTCGTTGGACTTGAATGATGTGCCCAATGGTGTGGGACGAATTTCACCATCAGGGGCTGCTCAGCCTTTGTGTGTAGAAACAAACCCAAGCTCAGTGCCTTGTGCTCCTCCTCCACCACCACTTCCTCCTCAGTTCCCTCCTTTCCAGCCTTCATGTTGTCCTCCTTTACAACCACAATCTACAGTTTGTGACTCAGATAATCCAGCTACTGAACTGAAAAATCAGCATCCAGGTGCTAGTAAGATGAATTCTAGTCGTCATTCAAAAGGCCGGAAAAATAAAGATGTTCCGAACATGTTAGATGTTCTGAAGGATCTGAATAAAGTCAAACTGCGTGCTGTTGAGCGGTATGTTGTCATATTTGAGAAATAAACTGAAATTTTGTGAATGATGTTTTTTTAAAAAATTATGTTTAGGAAAGCTGACAAAGATATTTTCTTTCTTATTACTTCTCACTCCTAAACATCCTTCCCAGAGATAAATCACTCTGTTCCTTTTGGCTATTTTTTCTGTTGTTATATTTCCATGATTTTGAAACATGTCTTATTTTTTATATTTCTCCCCATTGTAGAATATTGGAAATACTGTAGTTCCCTTTATCTGCCATTTTATTAACTGTGGTTTTAGTTCTTAATGGTCAACTGTAGTCTAAAAATATTAAATAGAATTTCCAGAAATAATTTATAAGTTTTAAATTGCTTGCTGTTTTGAGGAGTGTCATGAATAAGCATTCAATGAAGATCAAATGAATGAGTGGTTGAATAAACAAATAGTAGTCATGTGTTTTTCTTCTCATGATCTCTGTTCTATTGGATATTCTTTAAATTTCTACCCCCTGGAAAATTAGAAAATTAAAAATATGGCCTTTTGGCAGAACAGTGTTCGAGAATTCTCAAATAAGAGTAAGATTCTGGTTTCTTGGTTTCTGTTTCTAAAATCTTGTGCCTGTCAGACACCTTATTACATGGCAGAAATCTCCTGACGATTACCTATATTACGCTTATGTGCTTGTTGACAAGGTGCTAAGGTTACATCAGAATTTTAATTCCTTTTTTTTTTAAAAACAGATCACCTGGTGGTAGGCCCATTCATAAGAGGAAAAGACAGAGTTCACATTGGGATCCAGTGTCTATAATATCACAGGCACTTAAGGAGAAATTTGCATTTCAAGAAGATGATTCCTTTGACAAAGAAAATATATCTTGGGAGTCTTCTCCATTTTCTAGTCCAGAAACTTCCAGGGTGAGCTATAGTGATACCAGTAACCTTTAAGTTTTTCTGTCATGCTTTTCCTGATATTTTACATTCTTGTTCTCTTAAAGTAATTGTGCAAAATATAGTGTAAAGTGTTGATACTACAGTAATCTGTTTTCAGTTTCACATTCTCATTTTTACTTTTAACTGATAAGGAAATACTTGAGAAATATTTGTGCATGAGCTTATAATAGTTCATCCTAGAGAGTGCTAATTTGATGTCTGCAGTATAAGTTGGTGTCCAACATTTTGGAAAGACCAGGGAAGAATTGTGCAATAGATTCAGCTTAATTATATCAAATGGGACTATTCCATTCTAGTGTGTGCGGGCTCTGAAGATTGTGTGTTGTGTGTGTGTTCTGTATCTGAGGTTTAGTATGTCAATTCAGAAAATGATATTCAACTGTGCAAAAAAGTATGGAGTTTGCTTTTAACTTTACCATTAAAAATGTAAATGCTTCTAAAATCAACATTTAATTTTAACATCTAAGTTCTAATCTAAGTGTAACTTGGAAAGTACTTTTTATTTACCTTATTTGATCTTCATAGCAGTATCTCAGAAACAAAAAAAGAGTAGTATTTGTTCTCTATACAAGAAAAATGAACCTCATGGTTCACATAATCCCTCTTCTGAGGAGTAAGCAGAGATTAGAACTTGGTTTATTAAAATTCTAGAATGTCCGAAACCCTCGGGTATTCCTAGAAATTCACTTAGGTGGAACGACTCTTTTCTCTGTGATATTGTAGCACCTGAGGTTATGCTGGATATGGGGCCTCAAATCATAACTGAGGGGGAGTCAGTCCAGGCGGCCGCTCTTGCTTAGTTACATGTCCTTGGCCCTGAGCCCAGTGCCTGACATAGCTGACTCTTCAGTCACGGTGGGTTGTTGAATGACTTCAACCTCAAGGGGTCACCTGATGTAGTCTCATTCTTTTTTTACATTCCAATAATTTCTGTGTTCACATTTGCTTTGTTTCAGTTTGGACATCACATCTCCCAGGCAGAGGGACAGTGACTTAAGTGAAGAACTGATAAGCACAAAAATGATTGGCCAATGTCACAAAAGCCATGTCTACATTTGGAAGGAAAGGTGCAGAAATGTGCTGGTCTGTGTTTTGCTGCCTGTCAAAGGATCATATCTTCTCTTAACATAGAATGTTGCTGTTGACTGGGAGATACCTGGGGCCAGTGTGAGGGAGACACTTACGAGTACCAGTTTCTGGTTTTGGAAGATCCAACAGTTAACTGACTATTGAAAAGAGTTGGGTCTGTGGATTTTCCCCCTCAGGTATATTAGTGTCTCTGAAAGCTGAATGTATACTTCAGTGATTTTCTTGAGCAATTATGACTTCCTAATTTAAGAATCTTTTAAATGGTTTATTTGTCCTCCAGTAACTTAGAGATTTTCAAATAGGGTAAGACTATAAGTTTTCATTAAGATAGTCATTGTTTTAATCATATATGGTGAGCATTCTAAAGCTTATTCCTAACTAATAGTCTTAGAATTTGACTCCTAACAGCTACAAAAGTATTGTCTGCATTTGCTGTATATAAATAAACACAGCTGACATTTCTGTTTCCTTTGGTCTTTGATACATTTTTACTCTGTTCCTTTGTAAACAAATTTACAATAAATGTGCCTTTTCAACTTGTGTTTTTTAAATTTCCCTTTTGTTTGTATCCCTTTGGTTTTTAAAATTTTCTTGATAGTTCACGTTTGCAGAACATAATGAATATTCAGCGTGTTTGTGTTTTGTAGCAATTCAAATGTATATTTTTTTCATATTTCATAAAGTCTGAATGAGAGGGAATTCTATAGTTAGAGTTTCTTGGGGAATACAAATGAAAATCACACATACATTTGCAGGAAGTAATGAGATACACAAGTTTATGTGATTTGCGCGTCAGTACAACAGCCAGGGCATATGCAACCATCTGGTGGATCAGCACCCACCCCTCTGGCCAAGCTCTTCACAGTGAGAAAGTACTAGGTGCCCAGTTTTCTTGCTGTCAAGGAAGAGAATTGGTTCCTGCCACCACCTTCTTCCAGGTAGGACTGGCCATGCAGATCTATCTATCTATCTAGATATCTATCTGTCTATCTGTGTGTGTGTATGCATTTTCTTAGGGCCTTGTCCCAAACAACTGCTGGCAAGGGGTTTGGGCTGCACCTGCTATGCTATCTGTGGTCAGATGATGTTAATTAACAGACTATCTATCTATACACACACACACACACACACACACACACATACACACACACACACACACACATATATATATATATATATATATATATTTTAATTCATTCATTTGCTACTGAACCTTGAACCCCTGGCTTTTGCAATAAGGCATATACCTAGATTTTTTGCTTGTATTTTTTTTTGGTCTTTTTCCTTTTTATCGGTACCGGGGATCGAACTCATGACTGCCTGCTTGCAAGGCAGGCGCTTATGTCGCTGAGCTAAACCTCCAGCCCCCTTTGCTTGTATTTTTGAGACAAGGTCTTGTTAAATTTCCCAGGCTGTGTTTGAACTTGTGATCCTTCTGCCTTCGCCTCCCAGAGTTCTGGGGTTACAGGTGTGCACCACCATGCAGCAGCTATGACCATGAGGAAGAGGTATTTAAGGGCATTTACAGGGATATTTAAAGCAGGGATAAACAGCTTACAAGGAGAAATCTTGAAGTTTTCTTTATGTACCACATGAGGGCGGTATAACACCGAGTGCAGACAGGCTGAGGACACTCTCACTTGGATGACAAGTTTTTAGAAGTTACAACAAAGCAAGATTGGATTAAATATTAATTGCAAAAGCAGCTTACTATTAAGAACATTTATCAATTATAAATAACTCCTTAATGGATCTGAAATTACTCATGTCATCAGGCTAATTCAGTTCTTTACCATGCAAATAAATATTCTATAAAATTCAGTGATGAACGCAAGGGATGGTATTGTTTAATTGTTAAACTTCAAGATTGCAGTGGAATTTCCCCAAGTTCTTCAGCTGAAGTACAACGATTTGTTCCACTTTAAGAGAAAAGTACAAGGCTTATTTGTGCTTATATGATTATCATTTTTGCTTGTATCTTGTAAAGATTGGTAGATTAAAGTGGAGCAGTTTTTACTAGGTATCCCAAAACTTACACAGTACATCAAAATAAGTGCTTCCAAAGATAGTGTTACTGTTTAAAAGTTATCTTACTTGGATTTTTCCTCCTGTTAGCCCAGCATCTTCCCAACAGAGATAAGCTCATCAAAAGCTGATCGTGACCTGAGGTATTAGCAGTTTCAGACTCAGGTGACTGGTGCATAGCTTCAGAGCCAGTGTGACAGGGATTATCCCCTAAGTGGATCCCCACTCTGTTCTGGGTGGTTTCAGCCTTTGACATCTCCCTGGTCCCCTCACTTTGGCACCGTCTGTTCTTCCCTCTGGGTTCAGGTTTTTGGCCTTGCCCTAAACAATTGCTGACGGGGTCTGGGCTGCACCTGCTATGTAGCTGCTATCTGGGGTCAGATGATGATAATTAACAACTAACATTTGATTTGTGCTAGCCATGTGCTAGGTACTTCACAGCATTAATTTGTGAAGTATTCCTGGTAACCTATGACAGGTGCAATCATGATCTCATTTTACAAGAAAAAAAAAACAAACAAACTGAAAACAGAGACAAGTACTTTCCCCAAGATTCCTAGGAAGCTCCTAGTTTGAGGCTGAAATCTGGGCTCTTCATTATAAGCCACAGCCTCTCAAGGGGCTGGCTCCCCTCTGACTTCAGAGGTATCTCCCAAGCTCAGGGTCAGCACCCAGCCTCCCCTTCTCAGAGCAACTTGCTGGCTTAACTGTCTTGGAGTTTTCTGTTTCCACCACATGGGAAATCCTACTCCTTCAAGACGCGATGTGAAGAGTTTCTTCTCAGAAGCCTTTCCCTGGCCCTGCTGCCCCAATAGCACTCAGGATAGCGCCCCAGGATGGCCCTTCCTACAGAAGCGCATACTGCTGCCTGCTGTTGTGCCTGGATCTGTCACTCCAACTTCACTGGGTCCTTTTGAGCAGTTTGAGGATAGGGATGGGGGCTTATTCATTGAATCTCCTCAGATACTCAAATAAAAATCATAGCTACCAATTAGGGTACACTTAAGTGTGTTAAGAATGGTATTAAGTTCTAGCACCCTGGAAGCTGAGGCAGGGGGATTTCAAGTTTGAGGCCAACCCGTACAACTTAGCAAGGCTGTGTCAAAAAAATAAATGGGATGTGGCTCAATGTAAAAGGCCCTGGAAATCCCCTGTGACACCCCCATCATGCAAATATATAGTTTATGTCACCTCAGTTAAGCACATCACTGGAAAAATATGTTACTACAGTAGCTGCAGCCTTGAAATGAAGAAAAAGAAGTGATAGCATCAGCTGGTCTAAGGTCACTTGCTACCAAGTAGAGGAGCTGAGACAGAACCTGGGAAATTCTGACTTCAGAGCCTGTGTATGTGCCTGCATCCTCTGTCGACGTGTGGAATAGAAAGAGACTTGTCACAACAAGCATATTTATTTAGAACAGCATCTATTATTAGCAACAGACTTCATCTAATAGCACAGGGAATAAGGCAGGTAAACTGCTCAAGTTCACATAGCTAGAGGGTTTCAGAGCTGGGGTGTAGCCCAGGCTGATTGAGGCCAGGGCCTTTGCTCTCAGTAGTCATGGCCCTGGTTTGCGGTGAAAGAGCTCTGGAAGGCCTGGCATCCTCAGCTAAGTCCTTTAGCCCAGAGCCATTGATGGTTGTCCAGTGGGTGGGATGGCTCTTGGGCTCTTAACTGGGACCACCAGTCAGCCCTGGGCTGTCACCACACTGTGGACCTGGTGAGGCCCCTGCTGCACCCAGATTTTTTTTTCCCCTTTTAGGTCTGTCCCTGCATGCATCATGAAAGAGCCTGCTCAAGAACTGCCTGAGTCTTTGAGAAACTATTTCAATAAGAGTATTTGAGCTTGAATTTGATTTTGGGAAATAGCCATGTAATTACCAAACCTAATGAATGAGTGAATGGTCAAACGGTATAATATGAATGGTTACAAATGAGGTGTGATTTTCAAGTAATTCAAGTTGATTTTCTCATGGGCATTGTAATCGGGTTCCGAAGGCATTTCCTAAAGATTGGTTCCAAAAATACTTCGTGCAATGAGTACAGTGGCTATGTGACTCAATGACAATTTTATATTTTATTATTTCATTTTATTTTTTGTGGTGCTTGGAATAAAACCCAGAGTCTCATGCATGCCAGGGAACAGGTAAACCCTGGTCCTTATAGGATAGAAAAATGTGTATTTTGGTTTTTTTTTTTTTTTTTTTTTTTTTTTTTTGTCATTTTCCTTTTTATCAGTACCAGGGATCGAACTCACTCACAACTGCCTGCTTGCAAGGCAGGCACTTATGCCGCTGAGCTAAATCCCCAGCCCCTATTTTTGGGGTTTTTGAGACAAGGTCTCACTATGCAGCTGAGGCTGACATCAAACTTGAAATCTTCCTGTTTTACTCCCCTGAGTGCTTGGTCAATTCATAGAATATCAGTGATCCCTCCAGGACAATGAGTCATGAAACACTTCTATTTCATAATTATGCTGTAACATCACAATTATATTAGTTTGTTCTTTTCGGAGGAAAATGAGGGGGAAATGTGAATTTGCATTTTGGCATCTATAAATTCAGTGATACACACCAGCTCTGCACAGATCCTTACAAGAGTATGTGCAGGTGTCCCCTGTGTGGTAGGACACTGGGTGAGCTTTTCTTACAGAAGTGTCCCTGGCATCTGTGAAACGCCTAATTCCAAAGTATCTGCTGTGTTCCAGGTGAACATCTTTAAATATCACTGATACTGTAGCTCTCACCTTGCCTTATGATTATTAAATAATTAGCTAAGACCTTCTAAAATCAAAATATACCCGATGGGATTGCTTCAGAACCTGATCTATTTTCTTATGGTTTTCTACTCCAAGGCACCCATCTAGTCTATAATTTTGAAGATCTTTTTTTTTTTTTTTTTTTGTCTTTTTCTTTTTATTGGTACCAGGGATCGAACTCACGACTGCCTGCTTTCAAGGCAGGCACTTATGCCACTGAGCTAAATCCCCAGCCCCAATTTTGAAGATCAAAAATGATCTTTGCTTAGACTGCATAGTATTTTTTGAAGTTTTCTCTTTGCAAAAATTTGTGACTTATTTAAAAAATGCTTTGTAGTAAGATGCATATAGTTCTTTTCTTTTTGACCATGAGGAATATAACGCTGCTAACTTTAAATGGCAATGTTAGGATGGTTTCTTGAAATTTTAAAGGGAAATTTATTCAGATAATCATGTTAATGCCAGCTCTAAAAGAAGAAACTTGATATATACCAGGAATGGGATGAAGATTCCTAAACAAATACCCATCTCAAAAGAGAAAACAGACAAAATGTATCAAATTGAGGTTACAATAATGAAGTAGTACCTGCACATAAGAGGAGGTTTGTAGTGCATCGAACAGCTTAGAGGATAGACTAAAATATCCACTTGGGAATACACAAACCGGCAACAGAGAAGTTTAACCGGGACACTAAGGGAATCAAGATGTTGTATTTCATGAGGAGTTGATGTCATTTGATGTATTTGATTTGGAAGAAGAGCTGAAT